AAAAAAAAAAAAAAAAAAACTTTATATTTAATGTCATAAAAACTTATTAGGCAATTTTGAAGTTAATTAATTCTTGAAAGATCAAACAGCTTTGATAGATATTTTGTACTTTATGGTCTTTTTACAACAAAAAGTATTAAAAAAATTGAACTAAAGATATTTTTTATGATATAGGATTTCTTAAATTGATTGCTCGTTTTATTTAATGTGGGAAAAGATTGCAGAAATAAAATTTATCTCGTCCGATACTCGAAAGATCGAGTTGAAAGTCGCACAATTTGGACTTACCAGAGTGACGAGAAGTGAATTGACAATTGTAATGCCGAGGCCGACTAAGAACAAGTGATAAAATTGAACGCTTTGAACCGCTATGTAAATAGCTTCCGTACTAATGTTGAATGGCAATGCCATCTTCAGAATAAGTTCTCGTGTATACGGTTCTATTTTCCCGGGATCATTTACATTAGCGGCGAGGACGCCGAGACTGTAGAAAGTTACAGAGCCTATTTGGAGGCCGACGATCCACCTTGAGGCGCGATGTGCAAGGTCTGCTGAGCTCTTCATTATGCGCGAACCGTTCGAGGTGTAGTCTCGCCAGTCCGCATCCATTATTTGCAATAGATCAAAGAATATTCTGCGGAAGATTGAGTTCAGCATTTGCGTTAACACCTCCACTCTCAGCTAAGCCGCGCCAAATCCGACGTGAATAAAATATCAGAAAGAGGAGGGAATAAATTATGTAGCAATAATAGAAGATAAATAATACCATCTATATATCATTTTATGTGCGTTGCATATTATTCTCGATTAAATAATTAATATCGCTTGATTGATAAAAATTAAAAAGAAAAATGACATTATTGGAAAAATTGACATTATTGGAAACATTTCAGACTTTCGCTTAAAAGAGCAGTGCAAAATAATGCAAAAAAAAGCGACGCAATTTTTGCATTATTTTGCATCTTACCGTTGATTAACCCACAAAATAACGAGTTTGATGTAAAGCAGAGAAGACGCCATTGCGCTACTCACTCCGTCCATGAACTGAGAAAAATCGTCCATACCGATATTTACGAGTACGTATCGGTACTGAAAGACTTGAGCCGTACTCAGCATCACGATCCAATACGATCTAAATAGTATAGTAGACGGTAAGTACGGCCAAACGCCGAAAATGTGAAGGCCGATTTTAATCACCGGACTGAGCGTACTCATTTTGCGCTTCTTTTCTCGAACACTTCTTTTCGGACACGCGACGAGCAATGCAATGCTTCGTCAAATAGCTTTAACACTGAAATCTGCTCGCTTCGGGTCGACGCAATCCCCGTGTCATTGACCGTCGACCGCAATCACTGCTCATTAAATATATATTTCTGTTGTAGCATGCAGAAAATTGCAATTGCAATTTCACGAGCGATGAAAAGCGGGAGGGCGCGCGCGCGACCTCTCCCTCCGCGTCGAGTACAATATAATCTCTTTAAAAATGCAACGGGCCAGGCAAGAAAGAACGTAGTTTTGCGCAGCTTCCCCGAACTGCTCGCCGTGAGGTTGAGAAGTTTTGCTACTGGGGAAATGTATAGGTGGTGGGGATTGCGAGGGAGGAAAACGAAGACGTATCGCAGGAGTTTGTTGTGATGGAAAGACCAGTACGAATATCGCAGTTGGTGTTATAGGTGCTTGCGCGAAGAATCGGACAGTTTGAGGGCGACGGTGCAGGCACGTGGTGAAGAAAGGTATGGTTTAGTAGACGATTTTTCTTCGTAACTCGCCTAAGGCGAGTACTTTGCAATATTGCTTTCGTATATTATTGTCTTCCACTCTTGCACTTTTAATCGTAAACTCGAAATACGTAAGCGCATAAATATATCCTTGTGTTACGATAAACAGTGCGAGCGGTATGATGCAAATGCGATGAAAGAATAATTAAGTAGCTAAAATAATTAGAAAATGATTAAATTAATTCCTTGAACTGATGGAAATGTTAAATTGTGCAAAAAGTTGAAATCAGTACATTTCGTATTTCAAGAATAATCGCATCCTTTTATTCTACGTTATCAGATTTCATACAGCACATTGATCGAGAGAATCAACATTGTGTTTATAGCTCTGTGCTTATGCACTGCAAACCGAGTAAAGTTATCACGAGCCAATGTCTCGGTAAACGATACCCTGTCTCGTATACTTGCGCGTACACTTGATGCGATACCCCGTCGAGCCCCTGAATGGGAAAATTGCTAATCGTGCAAACGGCTTGGCGGCAGTAAAAGCACTATATTCTTCTGCACGCGAACATACAAGCGGCGCACGAGGCACGTTTTAAGGCTTCAATACATCGCGTGTAACACCGACACGTATGACGCCGAGGCTCTCACGATCTACAACATGATAGAAGCAATTACGGAGGTCGTACGCGAACGTCATGACGCGGCGAAGCGACTGGAGAACGTCGCCCCGGTTGTCAAAACATCATACGCGATAGCATGCGCGAGTACAACTTTTTTTTTCCTCAATCGCTTTCGTTATCTCACGAAATTCTTACGCCGGCAAACTGTCTCAAGGAGAGATCCACGACTTTCCCAATTGTAAGTGTCAAGTGTTTCTGCGACCTCATGATCATAAGAAGAAGGCTGCGATTCTGCGTCGGTGTCAGATCGTACCAAAGCGACTCGTACACCGCGTCGCCGATCATTTTACCCTGAAATGTATAGTAAACTCTCGTTGTGGAATAACGTATCGCGTCGCGTTATGATACATTATGTATACTGACTTTCATGGTAAGGTGCTCGCCGACGAAGCAAAATATGAACGCCTCCGTGTTGATAACAATGTAAAATAACACAGACTTCATCAGCATCGCCGATCCGTTTGGTATACCGATAGACTGAAATTCACGAGATATCTTGTATGTCGAGGGAGTTGCGGTATTTCAGTCTACTCACGATCACGATGAGAAAACCCAAGCAACAGATGACCAGCGTGTTCGATACGAATTGTATCAGCGCGATGTTCGAGAAGAGAGTCTCGATGTTGTTCGAGAAGGAGAGTATTTTCTGATGCCGCACGACCAACGTTTTCACAACGCTCTCGGTCACGCCGTGCTCGATTTCCTTCCGCGTGATTTCGCCCAGTTTTTGCCGCACTATGTCAATCTGCCCACTTGTGTGGAGAATCTTAAAGCACAACATTTAGTTTGGTGTGTTTTTTTTATATTGGTTTAAATAATGTGTTTGTGTGCACATTTTAATTCTTATTTTTTATACGTCATTAAAAAATTATTTTATTATATTTCTAAACCCTCCTTTTTGGTGTTACATAATTATATTTTTTTCAGAAACATTGGCAAATAATGGAAAAAAGTAAACACTCGGACTTACGAGACTTATCAATAAACAATTTAACACGCCCACCATACTAGCCGCGCTCGTCTGATGAACGAACTGTATGACAAGAATAGTTATATAAACTGATGTGCTCTCCATCTCGAAGGGCAACTCCATCTTGAGGATGAGCTCTCGAGCATCGGTCTGGTTGTCGCTTCTATTCCTCAGCAGGGTGCCAGTCGCGTAAAGGATCACCGACGTCGCGTTTGAGACGACTATCAAATTGGAAAATCGACGAGACATGTAAGCCATTCTGGTCATCGTGTGCTCGTCGGAAACGTCGCACTCTTTCCAGTCCTCGGCCACACGTGCTATGATTTTGTCGAGCAAACTATAACGGATTATTTCCAGAAATATTGACCGATATAATTGCGCGAGGACACGGATTGTTTCGCGAAATATCGTTGAAATTGAATTAATCAATGCAACAGTTCAATAACAATAAAAAATCCATAAGTTTTTTTACGATTTTAGATTTTAAAAAAGCATCTAGAATATCCTTATTTTACGCTCTCTCTACACATCGCGACGAAGCTTACCGAGTATTGAACGCGAAGATAATCAGCTTGATAAGCAGGAGACTATAAGCCAGAGTCGCGCTTAAAACGTCCATGAAGACTGAGAGATCTTGTTCGCCGAAGTGCATGATTATGTGACGATACTGGAAGATTTGAAACATCACCAATGAAGATATGGAAAAGACTTTGCGCAAAATTGCGTACGGCGTACCCGGCCACATGCCGATCATGCGAAGGCCGAACTCCACGGTGCGACACACAGAAGTCATCGGTTTCACTTCGGTCTTCATCGCGCCCGAATAAGTCAGATGACATCCGGCGACAGCAACGCGATTTATCACGGATTATTTATCACTGATCTTAATATTAACTCGGCTCTATTTCTTTTACAGGCAAGATTGTAATCTGAAAAGGAATATTGATTTGCCGAAACGTGAGATTATGCGATCCAAATGTTCGGCGCAACTCAAATATTTTCCACTGAAACTACAACACGCTGCAGCGACGAAACGCTGGGATTCGTGGCGTCATCGGCTAAAAGGGGAGCGGCGAAACTTCCGACTGCAGCATGATCGATAGTTATTGCCGAGTCTTCTCGGCGGATATGGTCAGTCGAGAGGTCTCAGTAAAACTGTAAAATTCCGCAGATCTGAAGCTCGAGCAACCCCCACCTCGGCTATAGTCGGCCAATAAAAATTATTCATTCTGTCGTGCTTCTTTCCACGAATAAAAATTATAAAGCGATGCCTTTATGATTATTGTGCTTGCAAGAAGAAAAAAATAAAGAACAGGTAGGGACAGCTGGGCAGACATTCGTACACCCTCGCGTACGTATCGCTCTCGATTGCTGTCTGTTATTTGCATAAAAAATGCAAGACAGATATACGTGCGTCGAATGCACGTGAGCACGAGATGCGTGCGCAGAATACTTAAAACTTTCGAATGATAAAAAGGAAACGAAGAATGGGAATTGTGGAGCATAAATTCATAAGGATAAATTGAAAGCGATGATGAAAGTCCGCGATGGTGAGGATTGGACGTTCTAGAAGGTCGAGCGGTGCATGGAAACGTTTATCTATAAAATTTGCAACGCAACTGTTCGATTAAGATATATTGAAACAGCATTTACATGTGTGGATACCGCACACGCTTGCGGAACGCCAATTAGAACCACGAGACGTTACGTTTCCAATAATAGCTACAAATGTACACAAGGGCATTGCCTCTTCGATTATTTGCGCTCTTCAAGACATAGCATGCAGCACGGACACGTAAGACGCTGACGCCTTAATGATCTAGAAAAAAAAAAAATGATCTTATCGTATACTTTGACAGCCATTAAAGTGCATAATTGCTGGTAAAAATTTGACGCAGAAGTTTAAAAAAGCAGCAAAAAATTAAAAGTTTCTATATAGACAAAAAAATTATATCTGCTATCAGTTCAAAAAATTGAATGCAATATTAACAATATGTACTTTCAGGATGTATTTTCGAAGCAAGTACAATTTTCAACTACACAATTAAGGAAAATGTAATTCTCGGAACACATCTTACAGTTGTAAAACGTTCTAGAGAAAGATCCATAAATTTTCCGATCGTAATAGACAACTTTCTTTGCGATCGCACAATTAGAAGTAGTAAAATGCGGCTGCGCGCCGGACTCGAGTCGTACCACTTAGCCGCGTACGCTGCATCGCCGATCATTCTACCCTGCAATCCAGCTAATTAAGAATTATAGCCATTATATTTTTCAATTTGTTTTATCATAACATTTCATTGAAAAATAGAACAACGATGAAAAAATTATATTGATGCAGAATGTTGCACGAGATTTGCAACTGCACGTGTATAATTTTTTCATATTATAACAATTATAAGGCATTATTATATGCGAATTCACGAAGACATCATTTGTAATTCTACTGGCATTCTGACCTTGGCGCTGAGATATTCTCCAGCGTAACAAAAAATGAATGCCTCCAGAGTGATGACGATGTAAAAAAAGAGAGACTTGATCAGCATCGTCGATCCTTCTGTGTCACCGATCGACTATAACGTGATCGAAAATAATAACACATGTCATACGTTTTAAATGGTGGATTAAATGAGAGTGCTTTAGAATCCGCACCTAAGCGCCATCAATTATTTCTGCTACTCTCGTGTGAAGTGTTTCGTCCATTTTATTGCATATCAATGTGCCATCAATTTCGAGTAAAAAATAAATATTTGGTGCAATTTATTTAACGATATCATTCGTATATAGACTGCGCGCGTTACAACGTTTCGTAAAGTGTTACTCACAGTGACAATTAAAAATCCAAGACAGCAGATGACCAATGTATTCCACAGAAATTGCATCAAGGCTATGTACGAGAAAACAGTCTCGATATCGGCTGACAGCGCGATAATTCGCTGATGTTGGCGTATTAGAGCTTTAATGGTCGTGGCTTGCAAATACGCGTCGTCGCCTGAGGAGATTTCTATCAATCCACGGCACATTATATCGATTTGCCCACCTACGTGAAGAATCTAAAAATAGCGGTCAACGCCCTGCAGGGTATTCACGGCATTGGGATGACTCAGTGCGAAGAAGAACTTGTGAATACAGAGAGTTTTCAATGATAAATAAATAAGATATATTTTTATATAGATTTGTAATTTTAGTATAAAACTACTCTCTAAGAACATATATTAATTAGAAATTTATTATACAAGTTAAAATTAAATGTAAAAAGTACTTGATAATGTATAAATAATATTTAAGAAAAAGAGAGTTTGTAATATTTTCAAGACGAAAATAGGGTTCATTACGAGAAAAGAAGGTAGTTAAAAGCAAAAATGTAGAAACGTTTATATTTAGCTTATCGATCGTGCACTCACTAGAGCATTTTTATTGCGGAAAAATGAAATGAATGAAGTAAGTTATTAATAGGACAAATAATGCAGGATATCTCATTATTTTAAAATTTTAATGCGGCGTAACGCGCGAGAAAAATCCAACTGAAATTATTTCATTATTCCGTAAGCTATGTTTATTTAAATTATGCATTTTTATTGCGCAGCACATTCGATAAGATACATAGTAATTCCATTAGCAACGATTCATAATTAAAATCCAACTCTGATAAAATCCAACTTTTGAACAAATATAAAATCAAGAATTCCTCTTTTATTATTCCTTTATTTTCAGATAAATTACGTATTTGAAAGATTCAACACCGTCAATCATATATTATGTATTACATCACAAAGATTCGCGAAAGTTATATGGATGGGTTTTATATCGATCGTTTTTTTTTTTTCGAAATCTAGGTCGTCTCAGAACTTATTCACTTACCAGTGAGACGATCAGGGCGTTCAGCACGCCGACTATCGTCGCCGCCGCGAGTTGATGAAAGAACTGCGTAATCATGACGATCTCGTAAACAGGAGAGGTGTTGGACTCGAATGGCAGCTCCATTTTGAGGAACAGCTCTCGTTCCGGTATCTCGAACTGTTCGTCGACGTCATCGGGATCGTCGGGGCGGGCGACCAGTACGCCGGTACCGTAGAGAATCACTGACATCGAGTAGAGACCGATGATCAGATTGGAGGATCGGTGCGAGACATAGGTCGTCTTCGTCATTAAGCAGATAGCCCAGTCGGTCGTGCACTCGCTTCGATCCCGAGCGATCGACATTAAGATGCCGTAGAATATCCTACGAAAAACTGCACTATCAAGGATCCTGTCGGATTTACATTTTCAATTCTTTCGCGATCATTATACAAAATATCTTTTTTTATTTCTTAGACAACTATGATATGTTAAAGATCACAAATTTATTGTTATTTCAGTTGTATCAATTTATTTCATATTGTTTTTTTAATCGATCAATCAAAATTTAGTTTAGAAATACTTAAAATGTATTGTTGGAATGCGTGTATGTCGTCCGTGTCAAAATTTTGGAGGAGAAACGGAGCTCACCGTCGATTGATAAAGAATATCGCCAGTTTCAGTAGTAGAAGACTATAGGACATCGTGGTGCTCAGACCGTCCATGAGATGCGACAGATCGTCGGTCCGAACGTGTATGACGAAATACCAGTATTGAAAGGTCTGCGCCATCGCTAACGTGATCATCCAGAACGCACGGCGGAGGATCGTGTAGGATGAGTCGGGCCAAACGCCGATCACACGGAGACCGATCTCGATCGAGCGGCTGACAGTGCCAATTAGGATCATCGTCGATCGATTCGAATCGGTCTTCCGGTCCATTTCCGCGGCTCTGCTTTCGAATAGAGTCACCGGCTGAAGCGCCTTCTTACATCGAACCGGCTGAAGCGCCTTCTTCACCGTCGTGAAACTTGGAAATTTCGTTGAAAAGCCGACCGTGCGCTCCGTACGTCGAACACATGGATGAACACGCGGGGGATAAACGTGGATGAATACGGGAGGATCGCCGCGCGTATCGGATCCCCACTACGTCGCCGTGAACCAATAGGAAGTACCGATAGGATATTCGACGGAAAAATTGCTGGATAAGGTTGCAATAGTTAGGTAAGATAAGTGCGGGTATAGATAACGACGGAGGAAAAAAAAAAGAGTGGGAGAACATTGTCTCCGGGATTACGCTGAGCCTTAAAAATTCAGGAGACGAGCGCGCGCAGCTCTCCGGAGATCGCGCCGGATAATGGTCAGGTAGGTCAAGACGCTTGAAAATGATAAAATGCAGAGAGCAACCGCGAGGAAAGTTAAATTAGTATGTCCGGATCGTCGGCGCAGCGAGGGAAAGAGAGAGCATTGTAATTACTCGCAGCGGGTATACCTGCCATCCCTAGCGAGCGAGTAAGTCCACGGATGTGTGATGAAAAAAGAGAATATGGTGTGTGAATTATATTTTATATAAATTTAGAACATTGAAAATTGTGAACAAAAGATAAAATTTGGTACAACTAATATTAATACCAAAAAATAGTTTACGATGTAAAATATATTTCGAATATTTTTCTCAAGAACATTTTGTGCGGGGATCGGAAGTCTTTCTTTAATAAATTATTGTAGATTGTCCGGAGGAATTATTGTTATATTTATTTATTTCTATGCTTTCTTACTAATACGTATAACGATACACTTGTTACTGTCCGATAGGTCAGTAATCACGATGGATGTGCTTGGCACAAGTAATTGTTATCCACTCGTCTTGCTTAATACATCGCGTGCAGCACCGACATGTACGAGGCGGATGCTTTCATCACCTGGCCGAAATAAAACGATAAATTTCATCCACACATTCACACGTGATACACTATATTATTTCCCACTTTGTCTTAATAAACATTAAAGCTCGACATTTTATCTTGTTATAGCATATATTTCGCTAAGGTGAAGTGCTTACGGTCGTAAATCCTTCTAGAGAAAGATCCATGACGTTTCCAGCGGTGATCGTCAATCTTTTCTGCGACCTGAGTATAATAAACATTAGAATCCGGGACTCGGTGGGCGTCATGTTGTACCAGAGCGACTCATACGCTGCATCGCCGATCGATTTGCTCTGAAAAAAAGCAACACGCAAACTCGAAAAGTAAGAGAAAGAAATTTATCAGTTTGTCCGACTTTTATTTTAAATTCCATCCAGCGTTATTACTTGCCCGAGAACTTTTAGACATTTAAGAATTACAAGCGTTGTATAAAGGAATGTACGTATCATAAGCTTGTAAATATTGAAATTTGACAAATAGTTCTGAAAAGTTTGAAAATTTATTGCACCAAAGTGAAACAAAATATTGCGCAGACCTTGGCACTGAGATATTCTCCGGCGAAACAAAAGATAAAGGCTTCCAACGTTACGGCGATGTAAAAAAAGACGGATTTCAATAGTAGCACGGAAACTCCGTCTCTGGCAAGAGCCTGAGTAAAGAAAGGAAAAAGTTCAGAAAAGTTTAATACAGTTATTTAATTGATTAATGATTCGCTACTTACACTTATTAAAGTGAGACCGATACAGCAGATGACCACGGTATTGGAAAGAAACTGCATCAGCGCAATGTTCGAATAAAGTTCTTCAATGTTATCCGAAAATGTTATTATTCTTTGATGCCGAACGGTTAGGAGTTTGATATCTGTGACGCTTGAATCACGCTGTAGAGATCCGTTGTCGCAGAATGTCAATAAATCTCGACGAAGAATATCGATCTGTCCGCTTACATGAAGTACCTAAATATGACTATTAATAAATCTATAAAAAGTAGTTTCTAATTATTTGTAGCGAAAATTCTCTTAAAAAAATATGTTGAAATTCTCTTCAGGTTTGAGTCAATACAGAACTGGAGAAGAATAAAAAGTCAGATAGTACTTTTGTTTAATTAATTAATATAAAATATAATACATAAAGCTTATTAAACCTACAAGATACAGAATCTATTAAAACTTTTGATACGATCTCAAACTCCACTTACTTGCTCATTAATTAAGCTTATTAAACAAATTTAGTAATTAACTATCTTTTAAACATATATTACAATCAAAATTAAGTAAATTGGGTTTAGAGAAAGTAACGTATCGTCCATATAATTAGTAAAACTTACCAGTGAGAGGATTAAGCAGCTTGTTGTAGCAGCTAAAGCGGCGATCGACACTTCATGTAGAAACATACCGGCCGCCAGAAGTTCAAAGAATGGAGTCGCGTTGACTTCAAAAGGAAGTTCCATCTTTATAGGTAATACTTTCGAGCTAACGTTGAGATTCTCCTTAGAATTAGTCGACAGATGTACGAAACTGGTCGCAGCGTAGCAAATCGCGGCGGTAGTATTGAGGCTGATCAATAGGTTCGAACAGCGACGCGACAGATTAGCATTGTTCGTCATGATACACAATATCGATCGGTTGCGATTGACAGTGCTCCAATCCTCATTCATCGTTAGCAGAATGTTATAAAATATCCTGCGAACAATCGTTCGCGTATTTTGTCGGAATCGTTGTGTCTGTTACATGGGAATTATTTTCCCTACCTACGATTCGACCATAGAGAGATCAGCTTCAGAAAGGTGAGGCTGTAAGCCAGCGTGTTGCTGAGCGCATCGATGAGATTCGAGACGTCGTTGACGTTGAAGTGACCGAAAATGTATACGTATTGAAAATACAGCACGACCGCCACGCTACTCATGTACGTGAACCAAGTGATGGACCCGTATGACAGGTCCGGCCAGATCCCGACAAAGCGGAGACCGATCTCGACGGAAGTGCTGATGGAAGTTGCACGCATTATCTCGCATGGAATCGGACCGCCGGTGTGCCTTCCGTCGGAAGTGAACGATTACCGAATGTGAGCAACGTGGCTCGGAAATTAAGCATGAGTTTCGATGGACTATGCGCGCTACGCGATGCAACAATGCGCTGCGTCCCCTGCGTTGTCGGCCCTTATCGATCAATTGCAATTATGCGCGTCCCCGCGCCGTGCTCGATGTACGGCGGCAAAAAGAAAAGCGTACGTTACATTTTGTCGATGATTACAGGTTGCAGAGAGGAAGGAGCATAATTCGAGAAGACGCATATTGAACCTTTACGAAGGGGGACGTGAGTTATTCGTTTAAAATATGTAACGTCTGTTCTGAGATAGCGCGCATGAGCGATGATGGATGCAAACGTTGACAGACTTGAGAAACTTGAAGGAAAGGGAATCTTGTGAGAACGATTTGCGGGAGACTCGTGGGAAGATCTAAATCGCGCAATATATCGTTTTGTGAATAGTATAGTGTAGAATTATATATATATAAATACAACAATATTCACGTAATTTTCGGAACTGTTAGGAAAAATGATTTATTAATTAAATATGAATCGATATTTTAATGTAAAAAAATGCATAATATGTTAATTTACGTTACAAAAATTTATTAATTAAAGATAATTTTATTTATAACTAAAAATAATATACAATTTACACAGACATAACATTTCTAGATAAAATGTATTTTTTTTGCAAGTGTGTGTGACTTGGTAAATTAATATCAGATAGTACGATGCTCAGGATCAGCTCACATGTGCTCCAAGAACATCGCCGTAATAATCAATTTATCATATTTTAAGAAACAGCACGCAATTTTCTACATTTTCCTACGTTCGTCCATTTCGTTTAGTGGACACGTTTACCAATAATATTTGTATTTGTATCACGTGGCAATTTTTACGAGTTCTAATACATCGCGTGCAGCACCGACATGTACGAGGCGGATGCTTTCATCACCTGGCCGAAACAAAACGATAAATTTCATCTATACATACATTCACACGTGATGGATTATATTATTTACCACTTTCTTTTAAGAAACATTAAAGCTCGATATTTTATCTTGTTATAGGTATTTCGTTAAGATGAAGCTTACGACTGTAAATGCTTCTAGAGAAAGATCCATGACGTTTCCTGCGGTGATTGTCAATCTTTTCTGCGACCTGAGCATGATAAGCATTAAAATTCGGGACACGGTGGGCGTCATGTTGTACCAGAGCGACTCATACGCTGCATCGCCGATCGATTTGCTCTGAAAAAAAGCAACACGCAAACTCGAAAAGTAAGAGAAAGAAATTTATCAGTTTGTCCGAATTTAATGTCAAATTCAATCCAGCACTATTACTTGTCCGAGAACTTTTAGACATTTAAGAATTACAGCACAAAAGAAATGTATGTATCATTGCTTGTAAATATTGAAGTTTGATAAATAGTTCTGAAAAGTTTGAAAATTTATTGCGCCAAAGAGTGAAACAAAATATTGCGCAGACCTTGGCACTGAGATATTCTCCGGCGAAACAAAAGATAAAGGCTTCCAACGTTATGGCGATATAAAAAGAGACGGATTTCAATAGCAGTACGGAAACTCCGTCTTTGTCAAGAGCCTGAGTAAAGAAAAGAAAAAGTTCAGAAAAATTTAATATACTTATTTTATTGATTAATGATTCGCGGCTTACGTTTATTAAAGTGAGACCGATACAGCAGATGACCACGGTATTCGAAAGGAATTGCATCAGCGCGATGTTCGAATAAAGTTCTTCAATGTTATCCGAAAATGTTATTATTCTTTGATGCTGAATTGTTAAAAGTTTGACGTTTGAATCGCGCTGCGGAGATCCGCTGTCGCAGATTGTCAATAAATCTCGACGAAGAATATCGATCTGTCCGCTTACGTGAAGTACCTAAATGTGACTATTAATAAATCTATAAAAAGTAGTTTGTAATTAGCTTAATTAGTAGTTTCTAAAGCGAAAATTCTCTTTAAAAATACGTTGAAATTCTCTTCAAATTTGAGTCAATACAGAACTGGAGAAGAATAAAAAGTTAGATAGCTCTTTTGTTTAATTAATATAAAATATAATAATTAAAGCTTATTAAATCTACAAAATGCAAAATCCATTAAAACTTTCGATACAATCTCAAACTCCACTTATACTCAATAATTAAGCTTATTAAACAGAATTATTAATTAAATATCTTTTAGACACATATTAGAATCAAAATTGAGTAAATTGGGTTTGGAGAGAGTAACGTATCGTTTATATAATTAGTAAAACTCACTAGGGAGAGGATCAAGCTGATTGTTACAGCGTTTAAAGTGGCAACCGACACTTCATGTAGAAACACACCGGCCACCAGAAGTTCAAAGAACGGAGTCGCGTTAACTTCGAATGGAAGTTCCATCTTTATAGGTAGCACTTTCAAGCTAACGTTGAGATTCTCCTCAGAGACGGTCGACAGATGTATGAGACTGATCGCGGCGTAGCAAGTCGCGGCGATAATATTGATAGTGATCAATATATTCGAGCAGCGACGCGACAGATTAGCATTGTCCGTCATGGCACACAATACCGATCGGTCGCGGTTGACGTTGCTCCAATCCTCGTTCATCGTTAGCAGAATGTTATAAAATGTCCTGCGAACAATTGCTCGCGTACTTTATCGTTGTGTCTCTTACAAGGGAATTATTTTCCCTACCTACGATTCGACCATAGTGAGAATAGCTTCAGAAAGGTGAGGCTGTAAGCCAGCGTGTTGCTGAGCGCATCGATGAGATTCGAGACGTCGTTGGCGTTGAAGTGACCGAAAATGTACGCGTATTGAAAATACAGCACGACCGCCACGCTACTCATGTACGTGAACCAAGTGAAGGATCCGTACGGCAGGCCCGGCCAGATCCCGACAAAGCGAAGACCGATCTCGACGGAAGTGCTGATGGTAGTTGCGCGCATTATCTCGCATGGAATCGGACCGCCGGTGTGTCTTTCTTCGGAAGTGAACGATTACCGAATGTGAGCAACGTGGCTCGGAAATTAAGCATGAGTTTCGATGGACTATGCGCGCTACGCGATGCAACAATGCGCTGCGTCCCCTGCGTTGTCGGCTCTTATCGATCAATCGCAATTATGCGCGTCCCGCGCTGTGCCTGATGCACAGCGGCAAAAAGAAAAGCGTATGTTACATTTTCTCGATGATTACAGGTTGCAGAATGGAAGGAGCGTAATTCGAGGAGACGCGTATTGAACGTTTACGAAGGGGGACGGGAATTATTCGCTTAAAAAATGTAACGTCTGTTCCGAGATAGCGCGCATGAGCGATGATGGATGCAAACGTTGACAGACTTGAGAAACTCGAAGGCAAAGGAAAGGGAATCTTGTGAGAACGATTTGCGGGAGATTCGTGGCAAGATCTAAGTCGTGTGATACATCGTTTCATGAATAGTATAATATAGAATTATATATGTGTGTGTGTATAAAACAATAATATTCACATGTTTTTCGGAATTGCTAAGAAAAATTATTTATTAATTAAACATGAATTGATATTTTAATATACAAAAAGACGCATGACATATTTATTTACGTTACAAAAATTTATTAATTGAAGAGATTACATTTATAACTAAAAATAATGTAAATAATTTATACAGACATTATATTTTCAGATAAAATGTATTCTTTTTGCAAGTTATTGATTTGCTAAATTAATACCAAATAGTACGTCGCGTATGGTCAGTTCACATGTGTTGTGCCCAGGATATCGGTAATAATCAATTTATCATATTTTAGGAAGCAGCGCGTGATTCTCTACGTTTTCCTACAATCCATTTTGTCAAGTAAATCAGCGGACACGTTTATTATTGATATCTGTATTTGGATCACGTGGCAATTTCTATGAGCTTTAATATATCACGTGCAACACCGATATATATACTATACGAAGCAGAAGCTTTCATGACCTACATACGGGCAGATACTTTTTATTGTAAGTATCATATCGTACATGTATGCAGTTACGAAGGCGACAGAATCATTTGCATTCGTAAATTGTTTGCATAGTCAGCTTTGAGATTCGCGCGAGATGCGTTTAATATCCATGAGCAACATTTTGTATGTATAAGAACGGATCTTACGCTGGCGAATCCCACTAGAGAAAGATCCATCACTTTCCCGCCCGTGACCGTCAATCTCTTTTGCGACCTCGCAATCGCGAATAAAAGAGTTCGACACTGACTGGGAGTCGCATTGCACCAGACAGACTCGTAGACGGCGTCTCCGATTGATTTGTTCTGAAAAATAACCAGGTGAATTCTGTGAATGGCGTAAAACCGAATTTTTTCTTTTCCTTTTTTCCATAAAATTTGCGATAAATATATATGTTACACCAATTGCAAGGAAACTTAAGCACTCACTAAATGAAATATTGTGTCTTTTATCGCAGAAATTTTTAAAAATTTTATCCCGTAGATAAAATACTGTTCGGACATTATGATAACCTTCGCGCTGAGATACTCTCCGGCGAAGCAGAAGACGAATGCTTCCAGCGTAATCGCGACGTAAAATAAGATGGATTTCGTTAATATTACCGCTTCTTGATTATTACCGATGGTCTGCAAGAGCGATGAGCACGTATATTACCAATAAATTGTAAGTAGCGAGGCAAGATTCGCGTTATTAATATTTTATGAGAATATTTATTACTCAATTATAATAATAATTATAATTATGGAATTTATTGAGGAGAAATATTAGTGAGAATTTTTGTTTATTTAAATCAAAGTAGTCGTGAGTGTTACTCGCGATAATTATCCATAAATCCAAGATCACAAATAATCAGGATGCTGGATAAATTGCATCAGTGCGATCCAGGCGAGGAGATCCTTGATATCGTCGGACAGCGTGATGATTCTTTGACGCTTTAATATGAGAACCCTCATCTTTGGTAGGCACGTAGAACTCTGATATCTCTTCGGTGATATTTTGACCAAATCCTCTTGCACTGGCCATTCACGTGAAGGATCTACAAACACTTTTTTTGTAAATACGATCTGTAATAAGGCGATCCGTTCTTATGACATACGAAAGCTTGGGAAGTGATCTTAAATGAAACATAAAAACGGAAACGCCGATTAATACTTACCAGTGTGACGACTAAAGCATTTATCATCGCGACGAAAGAGAAGGGAGATAATTCATGGAGAAATTGGGCTACTGCCGTAATCTCGAAGATGGGAGATTCATTAACGTCGAAAGGGAATTCCATTTTGACGGGAAGATCGAATCTGGTCCCGCGAGAATCGTCCTCGTTCTTCGCGGAGCGCCGAAGGAGGCCTCCGAGAGCGTAGAAGACGGTAGTTGAGGCGTTAATAGACATTAAAATGTTAGAACACCGACTATAGACAGATTGGCATAAATTATCATCGGTTACATCGGCGGTAATGTATTCCTTTCAGTCCTCGTCCATAGTTGCCAGAATCTCGTAAAACACTCTAGACGCAAAATAGCACAAGAGTACTAAATTGATGTACATGCAAACAGCACGAAAGTACAAAAGATGCCGTAAAGAACCGTATGGAAAATTGACACGTTCTGTAAACCTCTTTACGACGTCTTTTACATTCGTGTTGTTTGGAGCGGAACTCTATCGTTGAATAAACGCCAGACTCGAAAAAGCACTTGACAAAGCAACGCTTGCAGAAAATTTGTACACTTCACGGCGTAAAAGTAAATAGTTCTTTTACCGTGACGAATATTAAAATATTCAGAAACAAAAGCGAATTTGTGAGAAATTGTGAATACTATGTTTTCTGTGTTTTATATTTACGATTATTATTGTAAGCACAAAATGATAAGCACTCTATCACGCGATGCTATTGAATCAAAACGAATGGACAAACGTATTCACTGAGTAATCTTTTATTGACCAACCGTGCTTATATCGACGATTTAGCTAGAGGCCGATCAATTTCAAAAATGCTAGGCTATTTACTCAAAGCGTCTATAAGCATTGAGGTTTTGAAGATATATGTGTACTGAAAATACATTACTATCGCCACCGATCATATAGACAAATCACGAAAAATTACCGTACGCAAACTCGGCTACATGCCGATAAATCTTCATCTCAACCGAAGAATTCACGGTTGTCGAATTGAAGTCATCTCGCTTAGCTAGATAGTTCAGATGAGTGAGCAATATTATGCGAAACGTATATACGTCGTCGAATGATCGAATATGCGTCGCGCGTAATAATGATAAGAGAACTGACCGATCGCCGAGTGAGGGACGACAAACGACGACAAAGCGTGAGCAAGTTTGCCCGAACGGTTATCGATCAAACGTAATTGCACGTTGAACGACACAAGTGTGCTAGCTGTGCAATGATCGCAATTTTAGGGACAAAAACGATCAACAGGCTATCTTCAGCTATCGTGCAATAGCAAACGATTACCTTTAAAAATGCAAATCTTTTCTCCAGCGCTCGCTCGTCTATAATGATTATATTATCTATAAAATGCTGAGAAAAGAAAACTATTGAAAGCGAAGAAAGAAACCATAGACGCAGACATAAACCGTAGATTTTTTACGTCTATGACAGAAACCTCTTGAGACGGAAGAAAAATAGGGGGAAGAAATGTAATGCGCAGACCGACGAGAATTTCACGTTAGAAATGTTCGTGAAACGCGGTCTGAAGGTGGACTGCCTTTTCCCTGGTAATATTAGATCTTTTACTATACAATACAACGAAAAAGTGCAGTAATTTATATCTGTAAAACAACTTCAAATATAATTTGTAAATTTTAAGAGTATACTATATAATACTATACGTAATAGTTTTGTATTTTAACAAGTTTAACAAAATACTAATTTTTAATTAATAAATGTCTCTTTCGTAGCACTTAATTAAACTACAACTCTAATAATACTATTAATACATTGCATGCAAAATATGTATGACGTTGACGCTTTCATGATCTGAAAAGACGAGACAATTTATTGCTCGTACACGTTAATCGCATTTTTTACATTACAAGGTAAATTAATCGCAAAATTATGCGTCGGGAAAAAATTAAATCGAAGAAACTTACTACTGTGAAATCTTCCAACGATAAATTCATGATTTTGGCTGCCGTGATCGCTAATCGTTTCTGCGATCTCTATTATTATGAATAATATAATCCTAGTTTGCGAATGTCGTACCAATGGCGATTCGTAGGTTGCATCGCTAATTGATTTACTCTGAAAGCAAAATATAGAAATATTAAAATAATAAAACAAATAACAATAAAATGTTTTTATTTATAACACAATATGCTACACTGCGCTAATGGTAGCTGATGTATTACAAGTTATATTTTTTTATGCTCATTTTCAAAATAAGAGAGCTTTTTTATTAACGAATGCCGATCGATTAGCACGACGTCGGCATTTCAGAAATTTAAATCACAAATGGTGTTTTCATTACAATATATTACAGAAATACGTTAATATTCCCGCAAGGGTGACTGAACCGCACAGTCATTTGGGCTTAGCAACCCCACGGATCTGAGCTCACACACTGCGGTCATACATATACTTAAACTCACATTTACACTGAATAATTAAAAATTTTTAAAGAAAAACAGTTTAAAAGTGTAAATTACATTCGGATAATGTACGTGTTAGGTCTTGTTATAAGCGTCGGCCAAATAGCCATAGCTTTAACTGGCATAACATATAAATATAAAATCAATTGGCCACTTACGTGAAGTTTCCTAAAATGTGACTAAAATATTGGGAGCAACACAAATATTATAAAATTTGTAATCAAAAGTCGACTGACTGCAAAAAACTAAGTTTGTTTCTTTATATACTTAATAATCGTAATTTTTTTTGTAGAAATTTCTTACAAAATAAGAAATAAACGATAATGGTAATCAGTTTCATTCTTTATGAAAAGAATTGATAGATTGTTAAGATTATCAAATTTGTATAACACGACATTTAACATATTACGCGCAATGATATTTTCATATGATATTTCAACATTAATAAAGCAAATGTAGAAATGCCAGACTTACCAATATAAAGATAAGAGCATTCGCAATGGCGACAGCTGTTGCGTGAGATGTGACGTGCAGGATCAAGCCTATCTTCTTGCGAGAAGCTTCTCCTTTATCGCACTAAGTCGGTGACTGCTCGACTTCGAAGGAAATTTCCAGTTTAAGAAAAAGTTGTCGCAATATGCTGTTGCGTTTTTCCAACAAATTCAGAAAACGTATCGCATACCTCCCGAAAAAGTATAGTATTGCGGCTGAAAAGTATAGTCAGTATAACATTGCAGCAAAAATGTGAAATATTGGTAAGTGCTGATCGACGTTACCGCGCTCGTGCCAACCATCCTCCATCGTTATCAAAATTTTGTAAAACACTCTGCAATTTATTACTTAAATCGGTCACACAGATATACCAGATACAAATCACTGGTTGAAACAATGTTTTCCAAAAACATTGTTTTTCAATAATAGAGAATCGTAAATACTAGTTTAGAGTACTCAAATTGCAGGTAATAAATATCGATTGTGTACCGCTGCATTTAATAGCAATTTGACATTTATTGTATATTTTTGTTGTTATAATATTGACAGATTTACAGGCAGACGTAACGTTGTTTCAACCGCTCTTTGCGTTTATATTACACACTTTGCAAGCAGTATTTGATTATATTTTTTAAATCGCGAATTTACGATCGCGAAACGATGCAGTGTTTCACCGACGATGCATCCAAAGACTGTTTAATTTGAAGAACGTCAAATAACTGTAATTTAGAGTTACAGCTAAGCCATCCACGAAATTTGATAGATCGTTGAATTTGAAGTGCCTGAATATATACATATATTGATAATACTATAAGATATATAAACTCGACATATAAGTAAATCAACAAACAGTCGAGTGCGGCAAACCCGGCCGCACGCCAAGCAATGCAAGATCCGTTTTAAGCGGGCGACTTATGGTATTCACGTTCATGATTCCGCTCGGAAAAAGACGCGCGAGAAGAGACAATTTGGAATCACGTTAACGATTCCTGATACACGAGATTAGCATCGACACATTCATCTGAACTGTTGTGCATAATACACTGAAATTACCTAGCAATCCTCGAACGCTCAACGTGATGCATCCCCATCTGAGTGGCTATCGATCAATTGTAATTATGTGCAGCGTGGTCTAACAGTAATTTGAGATAGAGCTTATTATCTGTCTGTGTATCCTGTAATTACATCAAGACAATGTACCTGACCGTGAAACACAATAGAGCTTATGTCACACGATAAGTGTACGATAATATGCAATTTTTTTCACAAGGTCACCACGTGGACAAGTTAAATCCATGGATCGGGGAAATAAATTTTCCTCTATTTTTTACACAATATTCCACAGGTCAGAGGTCGATAACTGTACAATGTAATTTCCGCAACTCACGATTAATTAATTAATTATCGCAGTCATGTATTTGATATTCTAACCGAGAGAATAGAAATAAAAAAATGAGAGCTTATTGTAGTTTTAATTGAGAAAAACTGCATAAATAAGCGTAGTAAGTCATTTTCTTTAACAATTTGCAAGATGAAATTTCGTAAGATATTATGGAAAGAATAGTACAAATAAAAAATGCAAATGAAATGGATATTTCACAGAGCGTTCAATATTTTCAACAATAGTTTCAAGCAACAAAATATGCAAACACGTATTACACACGCCGACTTGTCAATGAAGATTCAGTGATAGATAAAATATAAAAAATATTTAAAAAATAATTTTATTTATTTTGTATGAAATTTAATTTAAAATTATATAATTTGTAAAAGTTAAATGAGAAGAGAGATATGAGTGACAATTATAAATTTTTAATAACAGTTTATAATTATTAATTTATTAATAATAGTTTAATCAACTAATTCATAATAGTTTGCTTTTTATGCTAATTATACTATGACTTTAATAATGTTGTTACCACATTTTTTTTACATCAATACATCGCATACAAGACAGATACATATGATACCGACGCCTTCATAATCTAAAATAATAAAAGTGAATAATAAAATTTATACAAATATATGCATAGAAACAAACAATTTTAACAAATGCTATAATTAATTATAAGTAAAACAAAATTTTTATTTATTTTATTTCTATATATATATGATAGTTTCTGCAGGCGACAAGCTTACGCTTGTAAAAGCTTCCAATGACAAATTCGTCATCTTTCCAGCCGTGATTGCTAATCGCTTCTGTGATCTCATTATTATGAATGATATAAGTTTACTTTTATTTAATGGCAAGTTGTACCACAACGAATCATACGCTGCATCAGCGATTGATTTGCTCTAAAACAATGCCAATAATGTTAATAATTATAGAGTATATCATTTTTTTATATTTTACCTAATTTAATCTTCTTTGTAAAGTAAAACTTTTTCTAATATAATGTAACTAGCGAGATCGTATTGACAAATCATATTTTCCAATAAAGCTAAAATAATATTTTATTAATTTTAATATATAATATCATAATCAAAATACTTGACATTGCTTGTTAATAAAAATATTATATATATTATATAATTAATATATAAAATGTACAATTCCTTTTTTTATTAGATAGCAGTGTTGAAAATTTTGATGAGTATGTATTAATCTATGTTTGCAAGGTAATATCCAAATAATTATATAAAAAGTCTTTAAATACTTACGAACCTTAAGACTAAGATATTCTCCTGCGAAGCAAATGTTAAAAATTTCTATCATTATACCAAAGTAAGCGAAAATCGTTTTCACTATCATGATAATACCGGCTCCATTATTAACAGACTATTTTGATGAAAAGTAAAAAAGAAAAATTATAATCATAATATCTATCATTGCGCATTTACTATAATACTCACTATTATAACGATGATGCCTAAACAGCACATAACTAAAGTATTCCAAAAAACTTGCATTAACGCGATAAAAGAAAAAAGTTTCTCCATGTTATCGGAAAGAAAGATTATTTTATTGTGTCGCTCGACTAGCATTTCTATTGTAGACGCGGAAGATTTGCGGAAAGAAATTTTTTCATTAATATTTTTGAAATCTTGACACATAATATCGATTTGTCCACCCAGATGAAGCACCTAAAATATACTTAAGTTGTGCAAAGATTATAAGTATTACGTTAATTGCAAATGTAAAATGTGAAACTTACCAGAGTAAAGATTAACGCGTTTATAACAGAAACTGTGCATACGTTTGATATAACATGTAGAGAAAGCATTAAAGCAAGCACCTCGAAGATCGGTGATTGCTCAGTTTCGAAAGGAAGTTGTATCTTCACAGGAAGCTGTCGTGAGGTATCATTGTAATCTCCCGCAAGATGCACAGCATGAATTGCATACTCGCCCAAGAGATAAAGTATCCCAGCAATGATATAAAAACTCAACATAGCGTTAGAACAAAAGTGCGATATACTGGCTTTGATTGTCATCAAATACAAATGGTGCTCAATGCCGACGCATTCTTGCCAGTCATTATTCATAGTATCCACGATTTGGTGAATAATTCTGCAATGTATTACTTTAAACGGCTATAAATTTTCAGCAGAAATGTTATACTTTCCATATAAAATCACTGACACACGAATGATTATGATTTAGATATGTTTAAAACACACATTTCGTTCAAGGTAAATAATCGATGTGTCATTCCTTGAATAGCGCGATTATATAAAGTTAACATTATAACATTAGAACGCGACAGCTTACCGGCGATTTATCCAAAGACTGGACAATTTTAGAAACGTCAAAGTGTAATTTAAAGTCGTAGGCAAACTGTCCACGAGGTTCGAGAGCTCGTTGAGTGAGAAGTGCGCGAATACATACAAGTACTGAAAGTACTGTAAAATCACTATACTCGACATATAAATTAGCCAAGAAATTATGGAATACGACACACCCGGCCATACACCAAGCAATCGGAGGCCGATTTTCAACGACGGACTGACGGTGCTCGTAACTATCATTCGTCAACAATTTTGTAGACACGTGGAAATAAAGATTAGCATCGGCACATCCGGTGCTCTGATGTAATACTGAGAAAGCACCAACAGGTTCTGCAAGCGCATCCCCACGCGGTGCATCCCCACTCAAGTGAGTATGGATCAGTTCCCATTACAGTTACATTAGAAAACAGTAAGAATTATCCGTATAGACATCCTATAATTTTTTGCAACGGTCTTCTCCGATAATTTGCATTTTCTACTGCAAAGTAAAAAAGATATCATGAAGGAACAATTGCACAATAGCCAGTTTTTTCTTTGGTTTTTTTTGCAAATTTCTCTGTGACAACGAAGTGCTGTGGACGAGAAAAGAAATGTATTTTATGTCTTTCCGGTGGCACAGTTCAATGATCGCAATTATGCATTACGTATTCAATGCGTACCGAACTAAATTCTGCGTATACTTGCGAGTTTTAAAAAAGATATATGAAGGAAGAACAAATTATATAATTAGAGGTAATTTTTTTAATGACATTTCGAAGAATGGAATTTTGCAAGGCACACATATGGTTACAGTCTCACAAGTAAAAAAGTTTAAATCAATATTGCATATTGTAAAAGCTTAGTTATAAACGTACGCTGCACAAATTACATATACGCAACTTTTCCAGTGAGTTTTTCATTGTAAATACATTTCACAAAGTCTGAAGATACATTTTTCTAAATAAAAATTCGCTTCAGTACACAATGTAGTAATGATGCAAAAAATTGTACAAGATAAAATTATATTGTATTCGCATAAAAATTTAAGGAATTATTAATAATTTTTTTTAATGACAATTTAATCATTAATTTATTAATAACAGCAAATAAGTACTAAATAAACACTTCTTGTTAATTATACCATGATTAAAATAGTAATTAGTTATATTATTAATATGTTATATTATTAATTATTTATATTATTAATATGTTTGATCAATATATCGTATAAAAGACTGATATATATGATGCCGATGCTTTCATAATCTAAAAAATTAGTCAAAAAATTAAGTTTTTAATATAAATATGCTTATATATAAAAATGCATGTTGTGACAAATGCGGAAGTTAATTATAAAAAAAAAGATTTATGTTTCAGAAAAGTTCCGAAAGCCTTAAGCTTACATTTGCAAAAGTTTCTATGGATAAATTCGCAAATTTTCCTGCTGTAATTGTTAATTGCATCTGCCCTCTCATTATTATGAACAATATAATTTTATTCTGATTTGTTGGCAAGTCGTACCAAAGTGAATCGTATGCTGCATCGGCGATCGATTTACTCTAAAAGCAGGGCAAAGGATGTTAAAAATGACAGAATGATATAGTTTCCGTTTTCTCATATATTTAATCAATGTTTTTGTCTAAAGAACAAAGTTTTTTTTTACTATTACCGGTGGTGCAATGTAGAATTAAAAAATAGTAGAATTAAAAAATCTTACCGTTTATTATAAGATCATTGAAACAGAATGTAATATGAATTTTTGAATAATTAATTGTGTAATTAATTATATAACAATGAAAGGTATCGTGTATACTTAGAATTAATAAATAATAAATGTTTTAATAATTACCAACCTTAAGGCTAAGATATTCCCCAGCAAAACAAAGAATAAAGTTTTCTATCATTATACTGGTATAAGCCAAAAAAGCTTTTACTATCACAAAGAGACTGGCTTCATTATGTAAAGACTATTTGAATAAATATATCAATTAATAACATATATGATAACGAACACATATTTATATTATCGTAACAAAAAATTTAATTAATATATTATATTGTATTGATATATTAATATATTAATATATTATATTGATATATTAATAAATTTAAAGTCATAAGCTTAATTATTTGCACTACTTACTATTATGATTATGAATCCTAGACAGCAAATAACCAAGATGCTCCAAACAACTTGCATCAGTGCAAAAAAAGATAATAGTTCTTCAATGTTGTCAGAAAATGAAATGACTCTGTTATGTCTTGCAATCAGCATTCCTAATTTCGACATAGAAGATTTATAAAGTCGAGTTTTTTTAGATATAGTTTTCAATTCTTGACATACAATATCAATTTGTCCGCTTACATGAAGCACCTAAAATACACTTAAATTTCTGCAAAAATTTCAAGTATCATATATGAGAGAGATTTTGCAATGAGAGATCACGTAAATGTTAAAGTGATATGGAAACGCAACATTTTCTTACTTGATGTGTAATGAATTACTTGATATGTACTTAATTATAAAATTCATCTCATAGTGATATAATTATATTTTTAAATTAAATTTCCAACGATAACAGTAATTTGTATCTACAAAATATTGCAACTTATGTAAGCAAAAATTGCGCTTATGTAAAGCGAAATTTTTACGAAAAAACATTAATATAATTAATTAAAGAATTATCTTATCATGTAATTTTTGTAGGAAATAAAAAGGTAATTACAAAATTTTAAACACACCAAAGAAAAGATAAATCCATTTAGAATTGCGACCGTCACTGAAGATGACATTAAATGTAGAGATAAAGTTATAACGAGCAGCTCAAAAATCGGTGATTGCTCAGTTTCAAAGGGAACTTGTATCTTGATAGGAAACTGCCATGAAGTATCGTTGTCATCTCCAATGACATGCACAGCGCGTAGTACGTAATCGCCCAGGAGATAAAGTGCGGCAGCAATTATGTTAAAACTCAACATAGCATTAGAGCAAAAATGCGATTTGTTAGCTTTAATTGTCATCACGTATAAGTGCTGATCGACGTTGATAGATTCGCGCCAATCGGTATCCATAGTGATTAGAATTTCTTTAATTATGCTGCAACATGTTATTTAAATCAGATTGATTAAATATTTATGTAAATATTATTTTTCAAAATGAGATTACACTTGTGGGAATAAAAATCTGCATAATAAAATTTAGTCGTACTCTTTTTGGTTAAAAATGTAGATATATTAATAAACAAATTGTGAGAATTAATTTTATTTTTCACAAAGCAGTTGGACCATTTTACAGCAATGTGATATTTTACCGACGATGTAGCCAAAGACTGGTCAGTTTAAGGAATCTCAGAGTGTAATCCAAAGTTACAGGCAAACTATCCGCAAGATTCGAGAGCTCGCTGAGTCTGAAGTGCGCAAATACATATAAATATTGAAAACACTGTAGAATCAGTATGCTCGATACACAAATCAGCCAATATATGGTGGAATGCACACCCGGCCACACACCGAGCAATCGGAGGCCGACTTTCAGCGATGGACTGATAGTACTTCTGACTAACATTTATCGAGAATTTTGAAGACGCGAGGAAATAAAGATTAGCATCGGCACATTTGTCCGATATTGTTGTACGAAGGAGCACTGAGAGGGGATCGTTTGTCTAGGTGCATCCTTACACGATGTATCCCCACTTAAGTGAGTATGGATCAATCGTCATTATGCATTGCGTAGTATGTTAATAAGTGGAGCTTATTATTCGTATGGACATGCTGTAATTCTATGAAAAGTCTGATAAATTTTACTTTAACCGTAAAGCAATCAAGATATTACGTGATGAAGGAACGGTTCACTGCGCAATTGCATTTTTTTGCGATTTTTTTCTGGCACTTTTTTTCTAAGATCCGATCGACGAGAAAAAATGTTCATTGTATTTTCTACGTGGAAGTCATTTTTACTCTGAGGATGTTCAGTTTCACAATTGTAATTGTGTATTCCAGAAAAAGGGAAGTTATTTCTAAGGTTTGATTGCAAATTTTAAAAATTATAAACAAAGGAAGAACCATGACTGACAGACGCAGTCTGTTGCGTAATGGCAAATAATTTTTTATCATTAAGGAACAAGACTCAAGTGTAAAAAGAATTTTAAAGGTTTTAGAAACGTGAACCAGTATACATCATATAAGCTTATTTATAGTTATGCTATACAAATGCATTTAATTAAATATGTCGTGCAATTTGCAGATGCATAAATATTCCGATGATACGTTTGATACTGTCTGAGCTTATCTTTTTCTTCTGGGTAAGAATATATTTTAATATATGATGCAAAATAAATAATAATAATATTATGTACATTTTAAATGCAGTTTTAATGTACTCTGTAAATTGTAAAACTATGTTACTTCTGGTTAAATCAACTTAAAGATTTAGGCTATTATTAATTTTTTAATAACAGCTTTATTATTAATCATTATTATTATTCTACATTTATTATATAATACATTTATTATTAGTAACATTTTCTAAATTATTGGTTTTATCAATTACAATTCTAATTACTTTCTAAGTAATTTCTAATTATTTTTGCATTTTTATTGATGTCAATATATTGCATTAAAGACAGATATGTATGATGCTGATGCTTTCAAGATCTAAAAAAAGAAGTTAAATTCTCAGTCTTTAGAAAATATATGAAAACACATGATAAAAGAGAATAAAAATTAATTATAGATAAAATAATATTTCTATTTTATATTTATGTATCAAGAAAATTTTAAAAGGTTGATTTACATTTGCAAAAGCTTCTAAAGACAAATCCATAAATTTTCCCGCCGTAATTTTTAATTGTGATTGAGATCTCATTATTATGAATGTTATAATTTTACCATAATTTGATGGCATGTCATACCATAAGGAATCGTACGCTGCATCGGCGATTGATTCATTCTGAAAGCAGAATGAAAATTATAACGGACGGTGAGTAAAGATTTTTCTTATTGACAATATAAAATTAACAATTAATTAAATTTAAAAAAAATTTTTTTTGTTTATTACAGAAATATAAAAACAGAAAAGGTATATTACAAAAATTTAATAACAGTAATATTGATAAAAAAATATTGGTTTTATATTACTCTAATTTTTGAAAAACGAAAACAAGTTTTAAGTTTTAATAAACGACTAAGAGGGTGATATTAAAACTAGAAATTCTATTTTATATGTGATGAATATATTGCATTACAAAGAATATATGTATGCATATATTATATACTTATATAACAAATATTTGAAACAAAAAACTGGTCTTAAAAAATATTAAAAGAAAATATTTCCTTTCTTAAGAAAGCATGTTATTAAGACTCATTTTTATGCTATTAGAATCTTATATCATGTTATTTGGCAACCCTATACTGGAATGAAATCTTGAAATCTTATATTCTAGAATTTTACATCATTTCTTTGTTTGAAATATAAGATTTCAATGTATTCACAGTAAAGTTATAGACCTGCCAAATGATATAATATAAGATTCTAAAACATCAAAATGAATAAAATATACATTAATCTTAATACGTTAACTCTGTGTTTAAAAAACAACATTAAACATTTTGATTACCATATTTGTGTAATTATGTTGCATTGAAAGATTGTGTGCTTGCAATTAATAATTTTTAAATACCTGCTCACCTTAAGACTGAGATATTCTCCGGCAAAGCACAGAATAAAAAGTTCCAACATTATCGTGATATAAGCTAAAATAGCTTTCACTAACACGAAGACATTGGTTTCGTTATAAATAGACTGTTTAAATAGATAATAACGTAGAGAACAAATAAGTATTAATATTAATCATTACACGTTTATTGCACTACTTACTATAATAAAGATGAAACCTAGACAGCAAGAAACTATAGTATTACAAAGAACTTGCATTAATGCGAAAAAGGATAACAATTTTTCGATGTTGTAGGAAAACAAAATAACTCTGTTGTGCCTCTCAATCAATATTTTTAATAGCGAAGCAGAAAATTTATAAAGTCGAATTTTTTCGGATATAGTTTTGAATTCTTGACATATAATACTCACTTGCCCGCTTACGTAAATTACCTAAAATATATTTATTTTTCTACAAAAGTTCTACATAAAGTTCAAATATTATCTTGTAATAAAAAATATTTTTATTATGAGAAATGTACTTGGAAATTGAAATTTTATGTGAGAATGTTCTAACATGTTATAATTAAGCGTCACTAATTGTTTTCTTGCGCAATTTTCGTAAGAAATAAAAATGGAAAGGTAAAATTTAAAACATACCAAAGAAAAGATTAATCCTTTAAGAAGAGGGACTAATGTGGCATTTGACATCAGATGTAGCATTAAAATTATAAAAAGCAACTCAAAAATTGGCGATTCTTCAACTTCAAACGGAAATTGTATCTTGGTAGGCAGCTGCCGCAAAGTATCATTATAACTTTCAAAAAGATGCATAGCACAAATTGCATAATTTCCCAGGAAGTAAAATATCGCAATAATTATAGTAAAACTCAACATAACGTTGCAGAACAAATGCGATATATTGGCTTTAATTGTCATCGTTTGTAAATACTGATCGACGACTCGCGCCAATCATTCTTCATAGCGATAAGAATTTTTTGAAAGACACTGTAATTTGTTACTTTGATTGATTAAATATTTTGAACAAAAAAAAACTTTCTACGCGAAACTATATACACTACGAAGATTTATATAATAAAAATAAGTCACACTTCCATCAAGTCGGCACATTCTGTATCAAATCTGTACATTAGAATATTAACGGCTATACTTGTTTGTCAAACAGGACACCTGGAGAAAGCTAGGAACGTGATATCTTACCGACGATGCATCCAAAGACTAGTTAATTTCAGAATTGTCAAAGTGTAATTCAAAGTCAGGGGTAAACTGTCCACGAGATTCGAGAGCTCGTTCAACGAAAGATGCGCAAAGATGTATATATATTGAAAGTATTGCATAACCAGTAAACTTAATATATATATCAACCAATAAATAGTAGAATGCACACCCGGCCAAGCAAGCGAAGGCCGATTTTTAGTAACGGACTGAAGGTGCTTGTGACTACCATTTGTTAAGAATTTTGAAAACACAAAGAAATAATGATCAATATCGGCACATCGGTTCGGTGCTCTGGTGTAATACTGAGAGAGCACCGACAGGCTTTCTGAGTGCATCCTCATACGATGTATCCCCACTCAACTCAATATGGATCAATTTTCATTGCGTTGAGAAACAGTAAGAACTTACTCATGCTTACGGACATCGTGTAATTTCGTCGACAATTTTTTTCCTGATAATTTGTCTTCTAATTATAGGGAGGGAAAATATCGTGAACGAACAATTCGTCCTAGCGTAATTGCAAGTTCTTTTTTCAAACATATTTTTCTGACAATGTAATACTAACCGGCATAGGAAGTAAATATCCATTGCATTTTTTTACGTATCATTAAAAGCGTTCGAACTCGCAGTAGTTCAACTAAATGTAATTATGCATTAAGCATTTATAAGCGAACAAAACTAAATTTTACTTTTAAAGGTAAATTGAAAAAAAGATATATAAGAAGTTTGTATCTCTCTGTGACCAAGGAAAAAAACATAATAGCGGGAAATTTTCTTTAATTACTCAAAGAAAATGGAACTTTACAAGGTACGCATGTTGTAAACGTGTCAGTGTAAGATCGTCAAAAGCAAGAAATATGAATCATTTAGCACATCATAGAAGCTATTGTTAGTCACAAACACATGCTATCAAACATTGTATATTTTACATATATATATATATATATATTTATTTTATTAAATCCTTTTTGACGATATATATTTTTTTCTTTTTTAAAGATTTATTATGCAATAAAGTAAATTAGCTATGAAATTATTTATTGTTATATTAAATATAATTCTAGATTCTGTAATTTGTAAGTCAAAAAATTCTATTAAATCTATTAAATTTAAATAATAATTACAAATTTATTAATAAAATTTTAATATTTATTCAACATTTTAACAACAATTTTAAGTTTTTTTTTACATTTATTCTAAGAAATTATTATTATATTTTTATTCAATTTAATACATTGTACGAAATACAGATATGTACGACATCGTTGCTTTCAATATCTAGAGAAAAAAAGTAAAAAGTAAAATTTTATATACAAATTATGCATACATATAAATGACAAACATTATAACACAAATGTTAAAAATAATTATAAATAAGCAAAATAAAAGTTTTATTACATAATTATATGTATCAAAATAGTAGGCACAAAACTTACATTCGCAAAAGCATCCAAGGACAAATCCATCATGTTTCCTGCCGTGAGCGTCAATTGCCTCTGAGATCTTAATATTATTAATAATATAATTTTACCGTCATTTGGCCTCATCTCGTACCACAACGAATTGCATGCTGCATCAACTATTGTTTTACTCTAAAAATGCAGGAGACATAAAGTATAGAAATCTTTTGTATTCTTCTATGTTCCATCAATTTTTCATTGTCTAAAAAATAAAATTGTTTCTGGTTCTCGTTGATTGTATATACAGAATTAAAAAGAATATTAAAATAAAGGATATATTGTTTATTATTAAAGAACTGGAAGCAATGTGAATTTTAAATATATCAAAATATCTAAAAATGCAATAAGAAGAATAATAATATGCATTACACATTTTTTTATTTTATTCATATTTTCATAATAAATGGAATATTGTATTTGTAGTGATCAAACACACACAATTATTATAATTGGTAACTACACGATTCTAATAAAAATGTTTATATGTTTGATGCTGCAATGAAAGCTACTAACAATAAGTGACTTATGTGATATTATAAGTTATGTTATAGGTACATATTATATTTACTCACTTTGACACTAAGGTATTCTCCGACATAGCAAATAATAAAAGTTTCTATTATTACAGCAATAGAAGCCAACATCATTTTCACTATTACAAAGAAACTACTATCATTGTAAAGAGACTATTTCAACATAAAAATTGAATTAATTACAATACAGAGTATCGCACACAGGTTTCTTGTACTACTTACTATTATAATGATGAATCCTAAACAGCACATAAGAAACGTATCCAAAACAACTTGCATTAACACAATAAAGGAGAAAAGTTTCTCGATATTATTAGAGAATAATATGACTTTATTATGCTTCTTGATCAGCATTCCTAATGCAGATGCGATGGATTTACAAACCCGAGCTTTCTCAGATGTAGTTTGAAATTCTTGATATATTATATCAATTTGCCCGCTCACGTGAAATACCTAAAATATGCTTAAGATTTTACAAAAATTCTATAAATATAGATAAAGATATAGTATCTAACATAATATAATAATAAATTTATACATAATATAATATAATAAATTTAATATTTTTAATTTTTTTCTTGAATTACTAAATCTTGAACTAAATTATAAAATTTTATTGTAATAATGTATATTTTTTTAATTTTTAAATTATGTTTGCAGTGATGCTGCAGTTTGTAGATAAGAAGCTTTTGTATTTTATGTAAAATGAAAATTTTATCGAAAGATTTAATATGATCTTGTTATAAAACATTAATATAAAGTCAAAGTACCAAAGAAAAGATTAATCCATTTAAGACGGCCATCGTACAGACATTTGCCATCGAGTATAGAAATAATGTTATGACGAGCAGCTCATAAATCGGTGATTGTATAGGTTCAAAAGGAAATTGTATTTTAATTGGAAGTGACGGTGAGGTATTATTGTAATTATCGGCAAAATACACAGTATTAAGTACGTAATCGCCCAGGATATAAAGTACTATAGCAAATGTATTAAAACTCAACATAATATTAAAGCAAAACTGCGAAATATTGGCTTTTGCTGTCATCACATCCAAATGTTTGACATCGATGCACTCGCGCCAATCATTATTCATATCGTGCAAGATTTGATAAATGACTCTAAAATATATTATTCTTATTTGATTATATATTTAAATATTTCAGACAATCATTATATTCTTTACACCACTGCTCGAACTAAGATTTGGGTGCTTAAGTCAATTGAATAAAACTAATATTATATATTGATTAAATATCTTACGGACGATGTACCCAAAGATTGACCACCTTCATAACTGTCAAAGTAATACTTAAAGTTGGAGGCAAACTGTCTACAAGATTCGGGAGCTCACTGAACATGAAGTGCGAAAATACATATAAATATTGAAAATATTGCATGATTAGTATACTTGATATACAGAGTAACCAATAAATTATGGAAAACTCATTCGGCCACAGACCGAGCATTCGAAGCCCGATTTTCAGCAACGGACTGATAGTACTTGTGACTGTCATTTGTCAATAATTTTAAGAACGCGACAAATCTGCACATTTGTCTACCGCCGTAGCACACACTGTGAAACCACCGATCAGTTTTTCAAGTACACTCCCCACTCTGTGCGCGCGTCCCCTCTCAAATGAATACCGATCAATTGCTATAGCGTAATGCGACAGTACAAGTTCATTTTCCGCACAGACATCGTATAATTTTATCGATAGCTTTCGATAATGTATATTCTGACCGTGGAGTAAAGAAGATATCGTGAACAGAAAATTCATCACGCAACTGTCAATTTTTTTTACTAATTCGATCTTTGACAACAATGCTGTCTACAAAAAGAAACCTTGTGCGTTTTGTAACTATTATTAAGATCGTTCAATGCGCAGTAGCTCAACTGAACAATCGTAATTACATATTAGATATTCAAGTCAAACGCAGCTTAATTCCCTGTTTGATCGGAGTGTGTTTTAAAAGAGATAAATGGGGAAGAATATTATTCTTTCTTATGGACTCAGAACGAAAGGCATAATAACACTCATTTTCTTTAATGATTCAAAGAATGGAATTTTGCAGGGCATGCATGTGACAATTTCTCAATAGTAAAAAATTGAAATCAATTGGACACATCAGACAAGTTGGAAGCATATACGACATGATATGCAATGAGTAAATGCGCAAATTTTTAATCAAGGTTCAACATTTATGTTTAGCGCGATATAAAGATGCATTCTTGTTCTGACAGAGAATGTAGTTACGTACGTAATATTTTAACAACGTAGAGAAAGGTATTTCGTACTTTATTTTACTAATTAATTTTTAATTACATTAAACATATAATTTTGGAAACACATATAATTTTGGATTGTGTAATACATAAATCATAGAAATTGTGTTAAATTAATTTGAAGATTTTAATTGACTTAATTTGACGATTATTAATTTATTATAATAATAAAGTTATTAATTTATTAATAAATGTTAAATTATCAATTTTTATTAATTACATTAATTTCAACAATTTAATGTCAAATTTTTTTAATTATTTTAAATTTCAATTAATATACTGCATAAAATACAGATATATATAGATATAATACTTTTTTAATAATCTATATTTGTGTATTTACAGTTAATCTGATCGCTTATCTTAAAACTAAGGTATTCCCCAGCAAAGCAAAAGATAAAAGCTGCTGTCATTACGGCAATGTAAGCTAAAGCAATTTTTGCAAACACGGGGACACTTCCTTCACTATTAATGGACAGTTTCAATGAAAGAATAAAGAAAAAGAATAAACAAGGAAAGTTGAATGAGTTGCAATAAACGGTTATCGTGCAACATCTGCATTATTCACTACTACGATGATCCTAGGCAGCAAAAGTATTCCAAGCTAAAGTATTCCAAACAACTTGTATCATCGCGATAAAAAAAAAAAGATTTTATATTATCAGAAAATGAGATAACTCTATTGTGTTTTTTGATTATCATTCCTAATGCAGGAACGGAAGATTTATAACACGAAGTTTTTTGAGATATACTTTTGAACTCTTGATACATGATATCGATTTGTCTGCTAACGTGAAGCATCTAAAATACACATATGTTTTACCAAAAATTCCAAATGTTATGTATAACGAAAAATGTGTTTAATTGTAAAAAGGATATGCAAAATATAAAATAAAAAATTTTTATGCTTGCGATTAATATAAATTTTAGTATTTCCAAACTGCAATAAATCTGATGCCACAGTTTATATAAAACGTGCAGATATAAAATTTGAGACTCACCAAGGAAATAAGAAATCCATGTAGCGACTGTAAGCTGCATTTAAAAACATGCACAAACTGAGGTATAACGAGCAGCTCAAAAGTCGGCGATTGCATCGTTTCAAAAGGAAATTCTATTTTGATAGAAAGCTGCCGTAAAGTATCCTTATAATCTTGGATAAGATACACAAAATAAATTACATAATCACTCAAATAGATAAATTAACGTAGCAAATATATTCAAACTCAACATGGTATTGGAGCAGAAATTCGAGACATTAGCATTAATCACATACAAATGTTGCTTGATATCGATGCACTCGCGCCAATCGTCATTTATAGTGGTTAGAATTTGATGAACGACTCAGCAATATGTTACTTTAATCGATCAGACATATCGTACAAAGATATTATTTATTGCGCTATGCGCATGCGAAACCACATACCACTGTTCAAATTAAGATTTAAAGTCGCACTCTAGTCAGAGAAAAATATTAATCATTGGTTTAGAAAAATAAAGAATAATAATCTAATTTTTTCAAAAAAACAACTCAACACAGCGGTTAAATAAAACCACATGCAACGTTGCGATATCTTGCTAACGATGTGTCTAAAAACTGATAAATTTAAAAAATGTCAAACTATAGTTTAGTGTTATTGGCGAACCATCTACGAGATTTGAGATTTCGCTAATTTCGAAATGCGCGAAAACATACAAATATTGAAAGTGTTGAACAATTGGTATAACATATAAATTAACCAATAAATATTAGAATGTGATACATTCAGCAATACACCGAGAAATTGAAGACCGATTTTCAGCAATGGACTGATACTTGTGACTATCATTCGGGAAAGATTTAAAAAATGTGAGGATATGAAGTTTAGTAATAGCACATTTGTCTTCTACTGTGGTATAAAACGATACTGAGAGAGCTGCGACTTTTCTGCCAGATGTACCCCCACGCGAAGCAATCCCCACTCAAGTGAATATAGAGATCAATTGTTATTATACATTCCGTAATGTAACAATAAGTCGGAATATGGCTTATTATACTTATGGATACGTATAATTCCATTGGCAGTCTGATAATGTACATTTAATTGTGAAATACAGAGAAATTGCACGGTGAACGAACGACTTGCTTTGCAATTCTCATTTTTCTACCAATTTTTTTAATCTTATAATTGCGTAGAAGAAAATGTTCATAGCATGTTCCGCACATTTTAACATGCGAGAGTCGATTCAGTGATCGCAATTACACATTAGGTATTCTAAGCGAACAGAATTAAATTGTGTTCGACTGCAAGTCTTGAAAAACGGAAGACAGACATTGCAATTATTTCTTGGAATTGCGTAATGGCAAACAATTTTCTTTGCCATTAAATTTTTTTAATCGTTTCTAATAAATGAAAAAATTTAATTTTGCCGGAAACACATCTGGAAAATATCTAAAACGTAAAAAAATTGAAAGAATAAGACTTACCACGTAGCAATTTAGTATTATGCGATAAAATATACTGTAGAGAAATTACTTATTCACAGAATTTCTTTAGGAAAAAATATGTTATAGCATAAGATGCAGTAACAATATAGAGAAAAACAATTATTCTTACATTTTACATTAAATATAATTCCAAATTGCATCAGTTAATCTGAATTGTTATGTTAAATTTAATATGGAAATTTAAGTGTGGATTATTAATTTATTAATAATAATTTTTTAATAATTTTATTAACAGTTTCTCAACTTTATTACACTGTAATTTTAACTAATTTTTCTCCCATTTTTATTGATATTAATATATCGTAAGAAAGACAGATATATACGACGCCGAAGCTTTTACGATCTAAAAAAAGTTGAGAAATTAAGTTTTGTACAGAAATATGTGTATGTATCAAAACATATTTTAACAAAGATAGAAATTAATTATAAACAAGACAAAGATTTTATTTCATAGTTATTTATCAAGAAAGTTGTCACTTTTCCTAAGTCTGACAAGCTTACAGTCGTAAAAGCTTCCAAGGATAAATTCGTGAATTTTCCTGCAGAGATTGTTAGTCGCGACTGGGATCTCATTATTATGAATGTTATAATTTTACTCTGATATGACGGCAAATCGTACCATAACGAATCATACGCTGCATCGGCAATAGATATACTCTAAAAACAATGCATAGATTCTTAAAAATAAAATAATAGTATGCTTAATGTTAATAGTGTCCTTACATTTAATAAAATTTAAATATTTTTATCAACCTTGTGACTGAGATATTCTCCAGCAAAGCAAAGAATAAAAGTTTCTGTCATTATGGCAAAGTAGCCGACAACGACTTTCACCAACACAAAGATACCGGCTTCATTAGAAAGGGACTGTTTGAATTAATAATAAATAAAAAACAAGTAAATAATAACATTAATCATCAAGCATGTTTGTTCCACTTACTATTACGATAATGAATCCTATGCAGCAAATAAGTAAAGTATTCAAAATAATTTGCATCAAGCAGAAAATAGACAATAATTTTTTAATGTTGTCGGAAAGCGAAATGACTTTATTATGTTTTTCGATTAACATTCTTAACATTGACGCGGAAGATTCATACAACTGAGTTTTCTTACATATGTTTTTAAACTCTTGACATATGATATCGATTTGTCCGCTTACATGAAGGACCTAAAATACACATAAATTACTGCAAAAATTTCATATATTTAGTATAAAAGAAATTTTTGTAATAAGAAATGTGTGCTTGTCGTAAAAAGTAAAATGCATAACGTGACATTTTCTTGTTGCTTAAATATTTAATTATTAAATTTTTTTTACAGCAATGTATTGTATATTCTGACATCTCTAATTTAAAATTTCATGACGTTACAGTTTGTATAAAATTTGGTATGGAGTAAAATTTTTATGCAAAAATATTACAATTGTTCTCATGTAACTTCAACAATAATTAAACATGCAAATATAAAATCGTACACTTACCAAAGAAAAGATTAGTCCATTTAGAATAGCGATTGTCAATGAATTTGCCATCACATGTAGAAATAGAGTCACAACGAGCAGCTCAAAAATTGGCGATTGCGTACTATCAAATGGAAGTTGTACTCTAATAGGAAGCTGCCGTAAGGTGTCATTATAATCTCCGACAAGATGCGCTGCACGAATTGCATAATCGCCGAAGAAATAAAATATCGCAGCAAAAGCATTAATGCTCAACATAGCATTAGAACAAAAATACGATATGTTGGCTTTAATTGTCATCGTACACAAATGTTCCGTGATGTTCATGCTTTCGCGCCAATCATTATCTATAGTGGTCAGGATTTCTCGAATAACTCTGCAATACGGTATTGTAATCGCTCAGATATTTTAAACAGAGAGATATTATGCTTTTTATACGCCGCACAAATCAATATTTAATTGAGAAAAATAAATTATTTTCCGATCAGGTGGACAATATATATTAAAAAATGAAGGATTAATTGTGTTTCTCACACGTATAAGAATTGGATAAAAATTTATGCATTAATAATTTATTGTATAAGGATTAACGGTGATAAGATTATGCTTACGCTAACGTTCTGCAGCGACACGATATCTTACCGATGTTGTATCCGAAGACTGATCAATTTCAAAACCGTCAAACTGTATTCTAATGTTACGGATATGCTGTCCACGAGATTCATGAGCTCGCTGATCTTGAAGTGTGCAAAAATATAAAAATATTGAAAGCACTGTATGATCAGTATACTCGATACATAAAACAGCCAATAAACGGCGGAATGCACACCCGGCCACACACCGAGCAACCGCAGGCCGATTTTTAGTGACGGGCTGATGGTACTTTTGACTAACATTTATTAACAATTTTGAAGACGTAAGAAAATAAAAATTACTATCGGCACATTTGTCCGATACCGTGGTATGACGGGGCACTGAGAGAACATCGACCGCTTTCTACAAGTGCATTACATCCCCACTCAAGTGAACATAAATGAACCATCAATACTCTCTGCGTAGAATAATAGTCAAAATAGCGCTTTCTATTATTCGAATGTCTATACTCTTGTTCCGTGTGTATAAGACAAATAATTTGTACTTTGACGATGAAATAATAAAGATGCCGCGCAGTGAATAAACGATCCGTTGCACAATTGTTACGTTTTTGCAACTTTTTTTACCCACATTACAATTTCATCGGCAAAAAACAAATGTTCGTCGCGTTTCCCACACAATACCAACATTTTTACCGTGCGGAAGTTTGATTACACGATCGCAATTATGCGTATTTGATATTCTAAGCGTGCGGTACTCTAAATTGTGTCCGTAGTTCGATTGCGAGTTTTTTAAAAGCCATAAATGAAGGGAGAAACATTGTATCTCCCTAACTGAAACTGAATCGTATAATAACGAGTAATTTTCTTTAATAATTTAAGGAAGGGAATTCTGCAAAGCACGCATGTGAAAAAAGTCTGAAAAGTAAAAAATTTGAATCAATCGGGTATATGATGGGAACATAGTTACCACCATATGTGCAACAAAGCATATTATACCAGTAGCATATATGCAATCTACCAATGAAAAGTCAGTGACAGTTATGTTCGAGGAAGTTTGAGACTACATTTTGGATAAAAATATGCTGGTATGTAATTAAAATAATACTATAATGAAAAGTAAATATTCATATTCACACACACATATTAAATATATTTATAATTTTAGATTGCATAATAGGTATACTTTAAAGTTTTAATAATAAATTAATATGTATGTATATAAATACATAAATGAAGATTTCTTATTAAAACTTTAATTATTAACCTATAAATTACAGTTACTAAATTTTTTTATCATTTTAAATTAATTTAAAATTTTAATAAACTGCTCTTATATTTTTATTGATATTAAGACAATGCATAAAAAACAGATATATATGATACCGAAGCTCTTAATATCTGAAAAAGGTTAACAAAATTAAATTTTATATACAAATATGCGCATATGTAAAAAAACATTGTAATAAAGATTTTAATTGTAAATATGTATACCAACATAAACCAAATACCATTTTTTTGCTTATTTAATAAATATGTATTAAAGAAATTTTTGAAAATAACGAGCTTACACTCGCAAACGATTCCAAAGACAAACTTATGATTTTTCCTGCTGTAATTGTTAGTCGCGTCTGAGATCTCATTATTATGAACGCTATAATTTTACTTCGATTTAACGGCATATTATACCACAACGAATCGTATGCTGCATCGGCAATTGTTTTACTCTATAAATATTGAAATATTATTCAGAACAAAACATTTTTTAGTCTTCTTTATATAATGACATTAAAAAATTGTATCTTTAATTAAATTAATTGTATCATTAATTAAATTACTCAAATAAGTTACAAAGAAGATTAACTTGCAGATACTAACCTTGTGGCTAAGATATTCACCAGCAAAACAAAAAAGAAAAATTTCCATTAATAATGCAATGTAAGGCGAAATGACTTTCAATAACATGAAGGCGCCATCTTCATTAGAAAGGGACTGTAAGAATGGATAATTACAAGAAATAATAATAAAAACTAACAATATTGATAATTGTATTTACTGCGCTACTTACGATTACGACTATAAAACCTAGACAAGAAATAACTGAAGTATTCGAAACAACTTGCATCAATGCTATAGAAGAAACAAAATTCTCGATGTTCTCGGCGAATAAAATGACTTTATTATGCCTCTCGATTAGCATCCCTAATTTAAAAGCAAAAGATTCATGCAGCTGTATTTTCTTGGATATAATTTTAAATTCCTCACATATAATATCGATTTGTCCGCTCACGTGAAGTACCTAAAATATACTTAAATATAAAAGAGAAACAACAGTTCCTCTCTTGATATTTAATTATTCGATCGTTACATTTTATGCATAACGATGTATACATTCGTATGTCAAAATTAAGTTTGTGATGCAATTTGTATGGAGAAATTTTGCATTCTACGAATAGTGAAATTTTCATGCAAAATTATTATTAATGTTAAATGTTATAAGTTTATTTGTTGCAATTTGCATAGAAAATAAGGTGTAAATATGAAAATAGAGATTTACCAAAGAAAAAATAAATCCATTTAAAATGGCTATTATCAATCCATTTAACATCAGTTGTAGAGATAAGACTACGACAAGTAGCTCAAAAATCGGTGATTTGTCTGCTTCGAAAGGGAATTGTATTTTTACAGGAAGCTCCCGTAAGGTATCATTGTCATTTTCGGCAAAGAGCGTAATTCCGTAATTACCCAAAAGATAAAGTATTCCAGCAAATACACAAAAAGTTAACATAGCGTTAGAACAAAAATGTGATATATTAGCTTTAATTCTCATTATATACAACTGATTATCGACGTCAATGCACTCACGCCAATCATCATCCACAGCGACCACGATTTCGTGAATAACTCTGCAATACGGTGTTTTAATCGTTCAGATATTTTAAATAGAGAGACATTCTATTTTTTATACACTGCACACAAATCAATATTTAACTGAGAGAAATGAATTATCTTCCGATTAGATCGACAATATATGTTAAAAAATTAAGGATTAATTTGGTTTCTCAAACGTAAGAGATTAGACAAAAATTTATGCATTAATAATTTATTTATTGTATAAAGATTGTGATAAGATTATGCTTACGCTAACATTATGCAGCAACACGATATCTTACCGACGATGTATCCAAACACTGACTAATTTCAGAATTGTCAAAGTATAATTTAAAGTCGGAGGTAAACTGTCCACAAGGTTCGAGAGTTCACTGAGATTGAAGTGTGAAAATACATACAAATATTGAAAGTACTGTACGATTAATATGTACGGTATATAAATTAACCAATATACGGTGGAATGAACACCCGGCCACACACCGAGCAACTGAAGGCCGATTTTCACTGACGGACTGATGGTACTTGTCACTACCATTTGTCAACAGTTTTGTAGACGCGAGAAACTGAATATTAGCATCGACAGATTTGCCAAGTATTCTGGTATGAGACAGCACTGAGAGGATTTCGAATGTTACCCTCGATACATCCCCACTCGGTGCATCCCCACTCTTGTGAACAGGAATCAATCGCTATTATATATTGTCTGATATAAGTCGAAGTGAAGCTCACTAGCCATGCAATTATTCTATAATCGCATTAGAAAACCGGTGGTTTATACATTGACAATGAAATAATGAAGATATTGCGCAGTGTACGAATGGATCGTTATGCAATTGCCATTTTTTGCAAATTTTTTTTCCTTTAAAATTACCATCGATTTGACCGAGAAAAAAAAGATAATAGCTATCGCATTTTCTGTAAGCTGCAAAGATAATTTTTTACATACGGGAGTTGAATTAAATGATCGCAATTATGCGTTACGTCTTTTAAGGAAACGGCATTAAGTTGTGTCTAAGTTCGATCGCGAATTAAAAAACAGAGGAATAGTTTTTTATATCTTCTCGGCTCGTAATGGGGTTTTTTTAAATAATTTGAGGAAATGGACCCTATAAAGCACGCATATAGAAAGAGTCTCAAAAGCAAAAAGTTTAAATTACCGCATATCGTATCATTGTACTGTAAGTATATTTAACAAAGTATATTATACCAGTTACATATGTGCGGAACTTTAGAGTTCAATGATAGTATGTTTGCCACATTTTGAGGATAAATTTTTGTACAATTTAATACGCAATAGATTAATAATGCAAAGAGTGTTACTTATATTTATAAAATTCCAGATTGCATAAAAATGTATAAATTTTGATGGTAATATAAAATATAAAGTTTACATAAAGATAAAGATAGACAAATAGTTTAGTTACTAAATTAATTATAACAATTTCTGAACTATTGTTTTGTATAAACTGTACTATGATTTCAACAAATTGCTGTTGATTTTTTTGTTAACATTAATACATTGCATTTAAGACAGATATATACGATGCCGACGCTTTCATCATCTAAAAATATGCAAAACAAAAAATAAATTTAGAAACAAGAATTTGTGCATAGATAAAAGATACATATATATCGTAGTACTAGCTAATATAAGCAAAACAAAAAATTTATAAAATAATTTTAAATTAAAAGAAAGTTCTGAAAGTAACAAGCTTACACTCGTAAAAGATTCGAAGGATAAATTCATGATTTTTCCTGCCGTAATCGTCAGTCGTTTTTGGGATCTCATTATAATGAATGTTACATTTTTACCTTGACTTAACGGCATATCGTACCACAATGATTCGTACGCTGCATCAGCAATTAATTTACTCTAAAAGCAAACAACAGTATTTTTATATTCTTCCTTATTAAATCAACTTTATTATAAAAAAAAGTGATGTTTTTTTTAGTTCCCAATTGTGTATAGCTAAAAAAGGAAAGCAGATAGGCATACCATTATGAAATGTATTATGAAAAGATAGAAGCATATAAGTACTATGAATTTATAAATTGCAAAACAGTTAAGATATAGTTGAATATAACAATATCTATTATAAATTTAGCATTCCGTTTCTATTTTTGGAGTAAAAGAAGTCGTGAACTCGCAATAAACGGCTGATTGACTAGTGTGATACTGAAATATTAGATATTTTTAATTTAACTAATTGCTTATTATGTTAAGGAAATATTGTAATATTTTTATGTAATACGTATATCAAATAACAAATTAAAACAACGAAAAATATTTTTATTGAAAGATAAGTTTAATATTTTTATTTATATTAATACAGTGCAATATATTTTTATTAAAAAGCATTTCCGAAATTTTTTGATTATTATATTATGTAATTGTGTTTAAAAATTGCATATATTTACAGATAATTTCCAAATATTTACCAACCTTATGGCTGAGGTATTCTCCAGCGAAGCAAAAGATGAAAGCTTCTACCATCACGGCAACATAAACAATAGCACTCTTTACCAACATGAAGACACTATTTTCATTACCAACGGACTATTTAAATTGATACAAAAGGAATAAATAAATTACAATATTTATAATTGCATAGTCACTACATTACTTACTATTACGACAATGAATCCTAGGCAGCAAATGACTAAAGTATTCCCAAACACTTGCATTAACGCCATAAAGGAGAAAAGTTTGTCGATATTGTTGGAAAATAAAATGACTCTGTTATGTCTCTTGATTAGCGTTTCTAACGTAGATTTGGAAGATCCATAAAGAGAAACTTCATCAGAAATAATTTTGAGCTCGTGACATATGATATCGATTTGTCCACTTATGTGAAGCACCTAAAATACACTTAAATTTCTGCGAAATTTTTAACTATTATATGATATTAATATTTGTGCATTTAAATATAATTTATGACCTTAATATAGTGTGCATATAACAAAATTTTTCGATATTCATAGAACTAAGAATTAAATTAAGATCTTTGTTTTTTAAATTAAAGAAAAAGAGAGATTAAAAGTAACGATATAAATATAAAATGTAATACTTACTAAAGAAAAGATCAGTCCATTTACAATAGACAGCGTGCATGCATTTGCCATCACATGTAAGAACAGAATTACGACAAACAGCTCAAAAATTGGCGATTGTTCCGTGTCGAAAGGAAGTTGTACCTTGATAGGAAGCTGCCGTAAAGTATTATTGTGATCTCCGACAATATGCGCAGCACGAATTGCATATTCACCCAGCAGATAAAGCGCAGCGACAATTGTATTAAAGCTCAATATAGCATTAGAAAAAAAATGCGATATATTAGCTTTAAATGTCATCACATATAAATGTTGTTCGACACCGATACACTCGCGCCAATCATTGTCCATAGCGATTAAGATTTGATTAATAACTCTGCAACGTGCCGAATTGATTAAATATATTTCGAACAAAATTATTATTTTTCCAAGATTATACACTCAAAATAAGATTTAGATATGTTCAAGTTCCTATACGGAAAATAAACAATGCATGCTTTATCTCGCAAAAGACAATTAGATGAAACTAAAATTGTGCACTGACAAAATTCTACAAATTCTTCTTACCGACGATGTGTCCAAAGACTGGCTAATTTAAGTAACGTCAAGGTGTAATCAAGAGTTGCTGGCAGACTGTCCACGAGATTCGGGAGCTCGCTGAGCTTTAAATGCGCGGAGACATACAAATATTGAAAGTATTGTACGATGAATATACTCAAAGAATAAATAAAAAAAGTGAAGTGCGACACACCAGGCCACACACCGAGAAATCGCAGGCCAATTTTTAGCGACGGACTAATGGTACTCATGATTATTGTTCGTGAACAATTTTAAAGATGCGGAGAAACGTTAGCATTTGTCTGATACTTTGGTATGGCATTGAGAAAATATCAACTGTTTTTCCAGGCGCATCCCCACGCGGTTTATCCCCACTCGTCTAAATATGGATCAATCGTCATTATCGTTTTGCGAAGGAAACAGAGTTATTATTCGTATAGACATCTTATAATTTCATTAGCATTTTTTTTATCTGTTAATATGCATTGTAAGCACAAAAGAAAGTTATTGCACGATAAATGAACAGCAATTTGCTACGCAATTGTCAATTTTTTACAAACTCTTTTCCATAATAACATGCCACAGAAAAACGAATGTATTACATTTTTTGCACATTGCTAAGATAATTCAATGTGCAGTAGCTCAATTGAACGATCATAATTATACATTACATATTCCAGGCAAACGGAAGTAACTTGTGTTCATGGTTCAATTATGAATTCTAAAATGAAGGGAGAATATTATATCTTACTGGTTGCGATCGTTTAATGACGAATAATTTTCTTTAAAATTTCAAAGAATCGAATGTTGCATAGCACGCATGTGGAAGAGATCTCTGAAAAAGTAACAATTTTAAATCAATTAAACATGTCATAAAAACTGATAAAAAATGTCGTTCAAACCAGGTATACACAGACCTTGCAACGAGTATTCAGTACTATATTTGATGTAATACGCAGAGTTTCTTTTTTAGTACGAATATATTTTAATGTGCAATATAGTAAGTGTAGGAAAAAATAATTCTTGCTTTATTGATAAATAATAATTTATTTATAACAGTTTTTAAATTGTTGCCTTGTACTAATTATAATGTGACTTCAACAAATCGACTTTGTATTTATATTTATATTAATATATCGCATGAAAGACAGACATAAAAGATAACGATGTTTTCATAATCTAAAAAATAAATTACAAAATTTAATTTTAATATAAACATGCGCATACATAAAAACACAAACAGGTAGCAAAATTATAAAGAAATAAAATGTTTGATTAATAGCTAAATATCAACAAAGTTAAAAATCTTTTTTTTTTTAATCTTAAGCTTACATTTGTGAAAGTTTCCAAAGACAAATTCATGAATCTTCCTGCCGTGATTGTTAGTCGCATCTGCGATTTCATTATTATAAGCATTATACTTTTACCTTGTTTTGATGACATGTCATACCATGACATATCATACGCTGCCTCGGTAATTAATTTACTCTAAAAACAAAGTATGTTAAGAATCACAAAATAATATCTTTGTGATTTTTTATATATAATCATCTTCTTTGTTCAAGAAATATTTTTTCAAATCTTATTGCGGACTATAAGTGTAGAATATATATAGGTGCGATGAAAACCATATTTTTTATTATAAACAAATGACGATTAATAACTTTTAAATACTAACCTTAATACTAATATATTCTCCGGCAAAGCAAAAAAGAAAAATTTCCAACATTATAGTGGTGTAAGCCAAAGAGACTTTTGCTAACATGAAGAGACCGGCTTCATTGTAAAAAGACTATTTAAATAAGGAATAGACGATAAGAAATAAGTAATTAATATTATAATATTATTACAATGTCACTGTGCATTACTTACTATTATAATGATGATTCCTAGACAGCAAATAATTAAAGTATCCCAAAAAACTTGCATTAATGCAATAAAAGAAAAGAGCTTTTCAATGTTATCCGAAAACAAAATAATACGGTTGTGCTTCTTAATCAACCTTTTCAATGTAGATTTCGAAGATCCATAAATAGAAATTTGTTCAGAAACAGTTTTGAATTCGTGACATATGATATCGATTTGCCCGCTTAAGTGAAGCACCTAAAATATACTTAAGTTTCTGCAAAAATTTCAACTATTATATGTAAGAACTTTTCTAATTGCTGATCTGTGCGGTATTATACAATAGGCAATACTTCCGGTTGATATTGTATTATTTAATTGTATTGTACTATTATCCGGTTGGATGTTGTATTATTTAATCATAAAATATTTCTAGCAGTGATATTAATTTTTGTTCACTAATGAAGTTTATGATGATGCTGCATTATATATTCAACAAAAATTTACACAAGATGTCATGTGAAATGTTTACGTGATGTTGATTAATCTAAGTGTAAAAAATGTGTTTTATAATTTACGATGGAATAAAATATAGAAATGCTAAAATCTGTTACTTACTAAAGAAGAGATCAATGCATTCACAATGCCCAGCGTGAATGAATTAGCCAATAGAAGTAGAAGTAAAATTATAAGTAGCAGTTCAAATGTCGGTGAATGTTCAGCTTCAAATGGAAGTTGTATCTTAATAGGAAGTTTCCTCAAGGTAATATTGCGATCTTCAACAAGATGCACAATACGAATTATATAATCACCCAGGATGTAAAGCATCGAAGAAAAAACGCAAATGCTCAAAATAGAATTTGAGCAAAAGTGCGATAAGTTAGCTTTAAATGTCATCACGCACAAATGTTGTTTCACATTAATGCATTCATGCCAATCGTTATCCATAGCGGCCAGAATTTTATGTATTATTCTAAAATATTGATCAGATATTTTGAATAGTATTACTCTTATTTTCCAAATAACACACTAAATAAAAGTTCAAATGATGAGTATAACTTGTATCACAATTTTGTTGAAATAAAATTGACAACGTAAGCTATTTTTTTATATACAACAATTAAATGAGAATGAAATTATGCACTATCGGCATAAAATTGATATCTTACGGGCGATGTATCCAAAGACTGGCCAATTTAAGAAATGTCAAAGTATAAACGAGAATTGCCATCAAGCTATCCACGAGATTTGAAAGCTCGTTAAGCTTAAAATGCGTAGATATATATAAATATTGAAAATATTCTGTGATAAGTATGCCTGACATATAAATATAAATAATTGGGTGTGACTCGTTCGGCCACATTCCGAGGAAACGAAGACCGATTTTTAACGACGGACTGATGGTGCTTGTGACGGTCATGTCAACAATTTTAAAGATGCAAAATAAAGACCAATATCACTTGTCCGCTGTTCTGGTTTAAGGAATACTGAGAGAATACCGACTGCATTACCAAGCGCACCCCCACACAGTGTGTCCCCACTTAAAAGAATACGGATCAATCGTTATTTCTTGGTAGAATATACGAGTAAATCGAGATGGAGCTTATTATTCGTATAGACATTCTATAATTTCATTGGCAAACTTTTTTTGATAATGATTACTCTGAACACAGAGTTATAAACGCAAAGAACGAACAAAGTAATTCACTGCGCAATTGTTAATTTTTTTGCGTCCCCTTTTTTTCTGAAAACGTGAAGAACTATCGATGAGGAAACGTATGCCTATTAAACTTTTTACATACCGCTAAGAATGTTCAATGCGCAGCAGTTCAACTGAACGATCGTAATTATACATTAAATATTTCAGTTGAATGTAATTAATTTGTGCTCGTAATTTGTAATTTAAATTCTAAAATGGAAAAGAAACTCATTGTCTTAACAATTGAAGTAATTTAATGACGATAATTTTCTTTAAAATTTCAAGAAATTGAATTTTACATGGAGTATATGTGGAAGACATTTCTGAAAGTAACAAATTTAAATAAATTGGATAACATGGAAACTTAGCTGCAGCATATTCAACAAATAATGTCACTTAAACTACGTGTACACAGATCTTGCAATGCATATGCAGTATTATATTCGATGCAAACCAAAGATACATAGTTTTCTCTTTGTCAGTAAGAACATACTTCAATATACTACAGTAAGAACATACTACGATATTATATCAATGCGATAGAAGTTGAATATTTACAAATAAATTAAATGTTAACCTTAAAATTTTGTATTACACAAATCTAATTAATAATAGTTTTTAAATTGCCT